GAGAGAGAGAGAGAGCCGGGAGCATCTCGTTATAGATCGTTGCGTTTCCTCACCAACTCGGTACCGCCGGGCTCCTCGGCACACATCGACCGTCACGCATCGCGATTACGAATTCGACTACACCCGGCGAACTTGGAATTATAATTCTCCTGGAGTAGTTTCCAAAAGTTCCAAATGTTTAATCCGCGTCCGGACGTTTAAATTTAACAGCGGTTTACCGACGTAGTTTTGATATAAAAGCTCACTGCGTTGACTGCGATAAAAATAATAGAGATATATTCAATAAAAGATCTCTATAAATTTGAATGAAGACAAGTTTAGCGGGAAAAGTAAAACTTGCAACTTGATAAGTATAAGTATAGTTATTTCGAGAATGCCAAGTGATATATCAATTTTTTTTTTTAGAAACTGAATTTTATTTTATCCAAGATATAAATAGATGATTAAAAGTGAGCGAGGGCAAATCACTTTGCGCGTAATTCCTAGGAAATCGCTCACGTGATCTGTGTATGCCGAAGACGGGAAGAGGGGAAACCTTTCATTAGCGAAATTTTAAATAAAAATGAAAATTCAACTTTTAATTTGAGCTCTCCGATCTAACTCGCGATCAATAGCTGAAGCGAGGATATATGCGCGTAAATATGAAAGAGATTAAAAACGTTTGTATAATTTCCTATTTACTGTTGGCGTACGTGATTAATCCCGACGGCTGATGTAAATATCGCGTTACAATAGTGCATATTGGTGAAAATAACACCAGATTTTTTTGCACTTTCACAAACGGTAGCTCAAAGAGGAAAAAAAGAGGAAGGAATATCGATGTACAGTGTAACGGTTTATTGCGCCCCATTACATTTCTCGATCCATCGTCATTATATGTATCTCTACGCGAGTTCACAGTACGCTTGGCATCTCTATCATTCGCCGCGAAATATCATATCGTGACGTTGGAGTTAACACTACGATGTCTTCTGCGAGAAAGTATTTTGTTTCGCATTCGGGAGTAACGCGGCTTTTACACCGCCGGGGGAATCGTTAATCATTTATCATCCCTCCATACGCTGCTCCACGTCTCCCGCTATATTTCGTTTAGGAGTTTTTGGGCGCTACCTTTGAGTTTGAATTTATTTCACGGCTTTCATTCCAGTGATCCAGTTCCCATCGAGTGGACCGCCGCCGTCAGCGCGGATGTTTAAACAAACGCGAAACCGTTCGAACACTCGAAATTCCATTAACGCGAATAGCATAATGTGTATCTCATTAGTAAGTAATAACTCAATCGTGGAATGTGTGTCTAGCCGGCCCGGACTGAACGTCTACCTGATGAAGTATTTAGCTCTCTCTCTAATTTTCGGGTCACTTGAAATTCGAAAGCAATTTCGAAAGAATAGGAAAGAAAAACACATGTAAAAAATAATTGATCGGTTTACAACAATGGTGGAGAAATGTCCTGAATTGTACATCTCGTAGATTCTGGATCTAAAAACTGATTAGCAATTTAAAAATAATAAAAATAGATTTTCACTCGATATCACTCGATCTACGTTTCAATATTTCACGTATTTCTGCATTATACAAGAATAGAAAAAAAAACAACGCGAATCAGATCACTAATCCGGATGTCGTCGGATAAATAGATATGTCGTCAAGCGTCAATTGTACGGATTAGTAATCGCTTGACGACATATCTGTTTATCCGACGGAGAGCATTTAATGTTTTATTTAGCTTTCGTTATTAGATAATTTAGCATTATATTAAAACATTTCGTTTCCACGGAGTAACTCGGGCAAACTGGATATTTTCTCTCGTAATGCGCTGTTTTGTAACGTCGCTCCAAGATGCACGCGTGCAACGTAACGCGGCGCAGTCTGTCGCATGAGCTGCGACTGTCAAGAGCAATGGTAATTATGTTGCTGCATCTCTTGTAAATTCACGTTGAGTTAATTCTATATAACAGCGCCGCGAATTTATTCCGCGATTCGTACTACCGCATAATACGCACGGCCGCAAAGAGCAATTCCGTTCTTTGACGTGCTGCTCTTCCGCGCGTTTGCATTCGAGGGAACGCGATTTGCGTTTCTCGCTGATCAATTCGTTCAGGAAAAAGTACCGTAACGTCGGCTGTTACACTTCCATCGCAATCGAATCCGGACGTTTCATACATCTCGACGTTTGCTATTTCCTCCATACTTAAAATATTTTAATTGCATTTGCATGTATTTAAGCTCGGTGATTTCCAACTTACGTCTTCCGCATATCTTCCGTCCTCTCTAATTTCTCCTGAGTCTTCTTTCCATGCACTATAAATCACAATTATATAATATTATTATTTATATGGTTTATAATTTTATAATTTTATATGAATTATTAATTAACAAATTATATAAAATTAATAGGATCGTGTGTACGGCGTCGGGGATTTCTAATTAAACATAAAAGTCATTCCATTTTCTAAAGCGACATCCACATACAATCCGACATCCCCGACGTTGGCGGCTTTCGTTACGACAGCTAAGACAAAGTTTTCTGTAAAGTCGTTTGCGAATCTTCCACCTCGGCGTCTTTGTTTTACAAGCCCTCTTCCCCCCCCCTCGGCCATCTCGGGCTTACCTCCCCGCTTACTCGCCCTATTTTCATACCACAAACTTCTCTTTGAAACGCCCCTCGCCCTGGCCGCTCGTTAACTTTGGATGTCCTCATTTACGCCTAATCGACTCGAGTCTCCCCGCCGGTGTTAAATTATCGAACTTAACGCACGAAGGGGCATGGAAGCGTCGTGGTGTTAACGCGCATAAAACATGTTCTTGAGGCAAGCACCGTCGAGAATTATTATCGCTCTTACCAAAATCGAGTCTCGCGAGGATCGAGATTTCCGAGGATATCGGCCAAACGACGATGAATACTCGCCCTCGATGTTCGTTCGTATAATTTACCCTTCAGAAATCTATATATACGTTATTATTCTCGCACACGTACGCACGCGCGAGTGAATTATTTTAATCTCTCCTTCGAAATTCGTATCGGGCTCTATCTAAAGTGTGTGCGTTGTGTGCATTCCCTAAATTACAGATTAAAATCGGAGATAATCTCCGCATCTCCGTGAGGTCTCTCCGTGCTTACGTTGTGAGTAATAGCTCCGTATTAATTTCTCAACTGGGAGTGTTGGCATACATATATATTATATACATATCCGACTCTGAATTGTACGTCGGATATTTATTGCCGACTACCTCCGCGCGACTCTATTTGCACGGCTCTCATCCCCCATTAAAATGTCATTCTCGCTTGATCGATTCGTCCACTCATCACGTACGATCCGCCTTTGCGGGCAACTACTGTTAAACTACCGTCCGTGCCGCGCGCCGGAGGAATGCATCGGAGAAACGTCGGAGATAGGTTT